AGTCTAAAGTTAAATTTATCATACAATGCAAATACTCCTCTATCTTTATTTCTGTATTTGGCTTATCATTCTTCCTGTTGCCTCAGAGAAAGAGGTATCCCTTTACAATGAAGAGCTAATCAGATCTATTTTACTTTGGCCCCATTTTAATATTGGAATTGTTCTTACATTCATTCCCTTCATGCATTAATTTTTATGCAATAATTAAGTCACTATTAATTTGAAGAAATGTTTGCTTGGCCTTATCTCTAAACCAGGTATCAACTATAGACATATTTCTCTTTCATTCAGAAACTAAAAATTTTAGATGTATTATATTCTCATTAAAGAAGACTGAGGAAATATATATGCAAGTAAAGGGAAGACAATATATTATCTACCATCTTGTCATTTTCAATATCCTGACATATTTTCAAGTTAGAGCTAGATTTCTTGAGCAAGTTGTTTGCACATAATGACCTACTTATTTTCCTCAGCCTGAACCTGTCTTCCATCTTTATTATGACACAGAAAGCATTCTCTCTAAAATTCCCAATCACTTCTCCTGATTCAAAGGTCTGTTCTCACATAAGATCTTTAGAATTTCTCTGCTGCATCTAACATACACTTCTACCATCTTTCTAAAGCCTTCTCTTTGATTTCCACACTATGCTTCTTTACTTCTCTTAAGAATACCACTCATCTTTCTCTCCCTTATGTACCTCTTTTCAATCCTGCCTTCTACTGAGCAACATCATTGTCCAGGTTTTTGTGGTATTTTCGCTTAATGGAAAAGTTCAATGACACACTCGTAAGCTTAGCTACTATCCCACTAATGATGTTATTGGTAATAATTAAAAGAGCTAATAATTACCGAATGCCTATGCTGTTTGTGATAGGTACTGCCCTAGACACTTTTCATGTAGTAACTTCTCCTAGGAAGAAACACTCCTTGAATTTGAAGTTGAAGAAACTCAGGCTCAGAAAGGTCAAGTAACTTATTCAAAGTCTCAGAGCTAAACAGTAGATCCAGGATGCAAATCTAAGTGGCCTGACTCCAGAACTAGATCTCAACACACTGTCTCCTGCATATCCTGTTCAACCTTGATCTCTGACCACCGGTCAACTGCCCATCTTCATCATAGAGATATTTACAGGTGAATTTTATAATAATACCAAAAACTTAAATGCTGAAATTTGATACTTAACATTGTTCACTCTTTATAATTGCTCTTTCACATTTTTTTATGAAATATTTCAAGTTCATTCAAAAGTAGAGAGAATAATATAATAAACATCCATGTACCTAAAACTCAGCTGTTAAATATTAATATTTTGCTACTTACTTAAGGTCATTTTTTATTCAAGAAATAAAACTTTAAAGGTCATTCAAATATTAATATTCTTTAGAGTCTTTTGTTCTGTCCTTCACTCTCCCTGTCCACAGTCTCTGAGAAATCTGGTCCCTCATGGCATCTCTAGGCTATACCAATGGCTACATGTTACAGATTTTATATAGACCAGTCTCTTCCCAAATCCACTAATCTGGATATTTCCTGTGGTTTCACACAACAGTTTATATCCAGTGTAATATTTTTGATGTAATAATTAATGTCCTAAATTAA